AGAGTAATTTTAGATGATTAGCTTTAAAACATTTATAACATAGTGTATCAATGCTATCCTTTGAAACTTGTTTTTAGCTCTATTTTTCTCACAATAATGTCTTATTCCACAGTATTTCTTAAACAGCATTTCCTATCTCAAGGTTTACATACACATACATACTATGTGAGCCTTCTGCCGGGCTTTGAGAATTTTCCACAAATTCATTTCCTACACAGCGGTATCCTGGGAGACCTCCAGGAGCTGGAGAGGCAGGTTGGATGTGCAGCTCGTGGGAGCCTGTTCCCTCTCCCAGTGTGTTTGTCTTTCCACTGGACTGGGTCAGCCACAGCATGAAATCCACGTGTGCATGGTCAGAGGGAGCTGGAGCATTTCCCTCCCTGACCAGCTCTTTGCTCAGGAGGCAGAAAATTCCCTGGGCACAAGGAAGTGCCCCTGGAATGCCAACAGCTCCAGCAGAAGTGCCTTGACCCCCCAGCCTGCTGCCCTTCCCCTGGATAGGTGAGGCACAGCCTTAATGAGCTACAAGGCATTAATAAGGCCTTAATTAATAAATGAGGTATTAACCCTGCCACAGCCAGGGACGATAAGCCCAGTGCTGTGGGCAGGAATGACTCAGGATTTTTCCCTAGGGAAGCTGCCCAAATATTTTACCATATTTGCTCTCCTGCCTGCCATACCCACAGGCTGTTCCCCCGGGGTGGCAGCAAGCAAGGGATTACCGAGGGGGAAAAAAATGCTGTGGTTATGCAAGGGGAGGCAGATCCCAGCCCTGCATCCACATGGGCCCTGCCCAGGCTGAGCCAGTCCCTTCCCAGCCTTTCAACCCAAAATCCAGCTCTCTCTGCCTCCCCGCTTCCTTCAGGATTCCTGAAATGTTTCCCTGGAAAAAAACCAGATCTCTGCAAAAGGCATAATGATATAAAAACAGGGTTCATGTCTACCCTGCTATAAATAGCCCTGGGGTTGCCCTGGCTTTCAGTGCTCTGCTGGGCTGGGAGGGAGGCACAGCGTGGGGTGACACAGCTCAGGCCACCAGCCTCCTGAGTTTGGGATCTTGAAGCTGCTCTTTCAAGGATAAAAATAAGCTCTGGAGTTTTTAAGGGATTTTTTGTTTGTTTGTTTTGAAGAGGTGTGGATGTTTTGTTGTTTTTCTGTTTTCTCCCTGCATCCCCATCAATCTCTCCGGCTGGTTCTGCATCCTGCAATCCAACTGCTGCTCCTGACTGAAGTGCTGGGAGCAGACAGGGCTGGGCAGCACCGTGGAGGAGGGCACGGACACGCTCTGGCCGTGGGCATCCCACCAGGAGTGTCCTGGGGCAGCTCCAGCTGGCACAGCCCCTGCCCAGCTGATGTCTTGCAGAGATGAAGGCAGCCACGCCGTGCTGCAGGAACGGGGTTAAACTGCAGCTTGTTCCACTCAGGAGAACGTCCTGCTGCTCCCAAAGCTGCTCTGCCAACACCCACACCCACGGGTGACAGAGAAATGTGCTTCATCCTGTCATGCTGAGGAGAGAATGCCCGTGGGCACTCAGCCCTGAGCCTTTGCTGCCTGGCTCTGCATGTGGAGCTGCTGTGGACGTTTTGCTCTCCAGCCCTCAGCATCAGCTTGGTTGAACCATGCAGTGGGAGAGAAAGCCATGGATTCCTGGCTGCCACGAGGGCCCACATCACAGAGGACAAGGGCTCTGCAGTGCTTCTGCTGAGGCAGAAATTGCTCCGTGCCCACAGCAAATGAACAATCTTACAAAATCCATCAGCTCTGGCCAGTGCCACCTGATTGCACGTCCAGTGTGCAGCACCAATGGTCGTTGGCAGGTTTTTGCAGGAGCAGTTGTGTCACCTCAGCCTGTGCTCTCTGGAGGTTTCACCCAATTAGAGGATCATGTATTTTATTTCAGAGTGACTGAGGAATAATCAATACTCTGCCCTCCTTCCCTTCCTGGAGGTGCAAAGCGAAGTCAGCCAAGGACAAATGGCATCACCGTGTTCCTCCAGTCACACCACAGCCTAACCTTGGGCCGTGGCTTCAGCACAAATTCCATTTTTCCCCAGCATGGTGAATAAAAGTGGGGAGTGCAGATTCTCACTGTCCTGCAAGAGAGGCTGCAGCAAGTGCCCAGGGTTCTGATGGTGCCATCAAGAGCTGCTTTGGTTTCAATCCCCCATTCCCACCAGGATTTTGCTGGGGAATCATCCACCTTGGCAGCCAAATCCTGATGTCTTCAGAAGGCAGGGCTCAGCTCTGAGAAGAGGCACCCAAGGTGGGTCTGTGGCACAGCCAGGGGTACTCACACCCACCAGCCATGGATTTCACGTGCTGTGACAAAGGGTTCAGCAGGATCCAGACTGGCTGGAGACAGGGAAGAACCTGCCAGGGGTGACCCTGGCTGAGCACCCAGGTGGTTCCAGCTGCTGCTCAGGCCATGAAGGTCATTCCCTGTTCCTTCCATTATCACTTCCCATCATCTCCTCCAGCAAATCTCACGTGGAACCAGCACTGGGTGAGTCCCACAGGAGCAGGAGGAACAGGCATGGAAAGGGAGAGAGCAGGAGCTTGGGAATCCCACCTGTGCAGCCACCACACAGGGGATGGGAGGAGTGGGGGCTGCTCCCATGCCAGAAACCAGACCTGGGCAGCGGGGAAGTGCCAGGACAGGGGTCCCTGGGGTGCCCCCAGGACATGCTGTCATCGCCTTGCAGGTGTCCTGTCCCACAGAGGGGACAGTGGGTGAGGTGATGCCATGAGCTCAGCACGCTGGGAGCTCTGTGCTCTCTGTGCACGAGTGAAGTTCTGGGGGTGCAGGGAGCAGCTGTGGGTGCTGTATGATCCCAGCTTAGTCTGTGCACGAGTGAAGGTCTGGGGGTGCAGGGAGCAGCTCTGGGTGCTGTATGCTCCCAGCTTAGCCCGACCCTTGTGAAAGTTGGGTCAGATCAGGGATTCAAGGTACAAATAATCCATGCTTGGAGCTGGCGCTGAGGGTCACTGTCCCCCCCAGGGCAGTGAGCACAAGGCAGGGACAGTCCCACCCCAGGAGCAGGGGAGGAGGGAGGGAGTTTCCTCCTTGCTGGGCTGGGAGAGGCAGCAGGAAGAGGGCTCTGAGCTGGGGGTCCTGTCTCTGGGGCTCCAGCAGTGGAGCAGGGTGGGAGACACCCCAGGAAGGAACATCCCAGCAGAGCCCCTCAGCCCAGCCCAGCGAGGGTGAGGGCACAGAGCCAGACTGGGGGGGCAGGAGGGACTGGGGATGCCAAGGGACATGCAAGGCACAGAGGTGCCCAGGGGAGCTGCCCAGAAAGGGAGGGGTACGTGAGAGGGGGTGTCCAGAGAGGATTCCTGGGGGTGCCCATACAGGGAGTGCCTGGCCAGAGGGTGCCCAGGAGATGCCAGGGCAGGGGGTGCCCAGAAAGGGGGTGCCCAGGGATGCCTGTGCAGGGGGTGCACTCACAGAGGCTGCCTGGGAAGGGGGTGCTCAAGAGATCCCAATGCATGGGGGGTCCAAAAAAGGGGTGCCCAGGAAATGCCAGGGAAATGTGTCCCCATGCAAGGGGCACCCAGGAAAGGAGTGTCCAGGAGATATCCGGGAAGGGGGTGCCCATGCAGGAATACTCAGAAAATACCCGGGAAGGGGGTGGGCAGGAGATGCTGGTACAGTGGGTGCTCAAGAAATGGGTGCCCAGGAGATGCTCAGGAAGCGAGGGACCATGCAAGGGGTGCCCAGCAGGAGAGTGCCCAGAAGCTGCCGGCACAGGGATTGTCCGGGAAGGGGGTGCCCAGGAGATGCCCAGGAAAAGAGTGCCCAGGGGATATTCGGGAAGGGGGTGCCGGGGAAGGAGGTACCCAGGACATGCCCAGGAAGGGGGTGCTGGGGAAGAAAGTGCCCAGGAGATATTCGGGAAAGGGGTGCCGCGGAGGGAGTGCCCAGGAGATGTCCGGGAAGGGAGGAGGAGAGTGCCAGCAGACGCTGGTGCACGGCGTGCTCAAGAAAGGGATGCCCAGGAAACAGCCAGGAAAGGGGTGCCAGGGGAGGAGGTGCGCAGGGGATATTTGGGAAGGGTTTTCTGGGGAAGGAGGTGCACAGGGGATGCCCAGGAAAGGGGTGCCGGGGGAGAAGGTGCGCGGGAGATGCCCAGGAAAGGGGTTCTGGGGAAGGAGGTGCACAGGAGATGCCAGGAAAGGGGTGCCGGGGACGGAGGTGCCCAGGGGATATTTGGAAGGGGGTTCTGGGGAAGGAGGTGCGCAGGGGATGCCCAGGAAAGGGGTGCCGGAGGAGGAGGCGAGCAGGAGATGCTCAGGGAAGGGTTGCCGGGGGAGGAGGTGCCCAGGGGATATTCGGGAAGGGGGTTCTGGGGAAGGAGGTGGGCAGGAGATATTTGGGAAGGGGGTTCTGGGGAAGGAGGTGTGCGGGAGATGCCCAGAAAAGGGGTGCCGGGGACGGAAGTGCGCAGGGGATGCCCAGGAACGGGGTGCCGGGGAAGGAGGTGCCCAGGGGGTATTCGGGAAGGGGGTTCTGGGGAAGGAGGTGCGCAGGAGATGCCCAGGAACGGGGTGCCGGGGGAGGAGGTGCGCAGGGGATGCCCAGGAACGGGGTGCTGGGGACGAAGGCGCCCAGGGGATATTCGGGAACGGGGTGCCCGGGAAGGAGGTGCCCAGGGGATGCTCAGGAACGGGGTGCCCGGGAAGGAGGTGCGCAGGGGATGCCCAGGAACGGGGTGCCCAGGAAGGAGGTGCCCAGGGGATGCCCAGGCAGGGGGTGCGGAGGCGCTGCGCGGCGCGGGGTGCCCCGGGGCCGGCGGCGCGGGGGCTGCGCGGTGCGGGGCGCGGGGGCAGCGGGACGCACCTGTTCCATCGGGCCGCCTTCCGCCGGTAGTAGCGCAGCGCTTCGCGGGCGCCCAGCAGCGGCTCGGCGGGGCCCGGCGGGGCGGCGCGGTACAGCGGGTGGGCGAAGAGGCGGCGCAGCGCGGGGGCGGCGCGGGGCAGCGGCGCGGGGGGCGCGGGGCAGGGGCAGCCCGGGGAGACCCTCCGCAGCTCCCGGCGCGCCCGCGGCCACAGGTGGAAGTAGAGATCCGCGGCCAGCAGCGCCCCGAGCAGCAGCAGCACGGCCGGGCGGTCCCGCCGCGGTCCCGGCATGGTCGGTGCGGGCTGCGGGGCACCGGGAAGCGGGACGGGGATGGGACACCGCCGGCTCCCGGGGCAGCTCCAGCGGCGGAGCCGGGGGGTGCGGGCACCTCGGGGCGGGGACCGGGCAGGGCGCTCGGGGCCCGGGGCGGGGGAGCGGGGGTGGGGGCACGGCAGCGTGGGAGCCTCCCCCGGACGCGCTCCCGGTGCCGGTGCCGGTGCCGGTGCCGGCGGGACCGAGCCCATCGGGCCCGGGCTCTGCCCCGCCCGCTCGCCCAGCGCAGCCCCCGCTGCTCCGGCTCCTCCGGGGGCTTCGCCGCCTCTCCCGAAGGCGGAAAGTCGGCGCTGGGAGCTTTGGCAGCAGCCGGAGGGTGCCGGGGGCTGTGTGGGAATGGGGCGAGGGGAGGGGGTTGGAGTGCCCTGGAGCAGGGGGTCCCACCGATCCCACACACATCACCCCGTGTTCTCCAACCCCTCTGCTGTCTGCGGGCTCTGTCACGCCACAGCTGGGCTTGCAGCCCCTCCTGGGGACGGCAGATGGTTCAGAGGCCGCTTTTATTTTCTTAATTCTTAAAAAAATCCCCTGTGGTTGAGGCAACTCCTCCCTGCAGTTTGCTGGGAGCGGCCGGGCCGCGGCGATGAGCTTGGGCTGGGAGCATCGCGCCCATCCTGGGGGATGGAGAGCCCGGGGCGAGGGACAGGGAGAGCCCCGGCCAAGGGAGGAGAAACTGGCGGAGCACCGCGGGAGCGTGACCAGACTGGGCTGGCTCCGGCACTGTGCTGAAGGGAGAACAGAAAATAAACTGCAGAAAGAGGGAGAAGTCGGTTTTATTTTCAGCTGGCTGGAGCAGGGCTCGGCACTGTGCGAGGGGAGGCTCTGGGAAATGCCAGCGCTGGGATGGGGGGGCCGGACTGAGCAAAAGGGCATCGCAGGGGCTGCTGGCCGAGTGCCCGTCCTGATGTCAGAGGTGCTCCTTTGATCCAGAAGGGGAGAGAAAACAATCCCCTGGGCTGCGTGGTGGCTGCAGGCACCTCAAACAGACCTGTCCTCTTGGTCTTCTGATCTTTGGCAGACGGTTCTTACTCTCCTTTAAAAATACACTTTCCAAATTGCTCAGTCTTTTGATATGTGAAGAGTTTGGGTTTCAGGTTTGGGGGTTTTTGCTCTGAATTTATTTTTATTATTTTTCATAATGCCAAATTTTATGTGTTTTCCACAGAAGATTTATAAGCACAATGTGCAGCTGGTGCTGCTGTGGCCAGCAAGGATCAGTGGGAGGAAAGGATGTGCTCCCCACATTGCTTGGCTTTTGGGGACACCAGCTGTGCCCCCCTTCTGTGCCCTTTGGGGACAAAATTGGTGAAATGATTGCACTTGGATCCCTTCAGGCTCTAGACAAGACATGAGGAGTGGAGAGGGGAAATTTTAGGGTGCTGTACTGGGAAGGTGTGGGGCGGGCAGGGGCTCTGCTCAGAGGTGCTGGGTTGGGGTCTGCAGGATGGGAAGGCACAGAGCTGATCCTTCTCAGAGGGGAGAAGGAGCTTCCAGGACATGAAGCTGGGTGTAAACAGGGGGAAATGAGTGCCAGCTCGCTGGTCAGCTGGCTTAGGGGAGAGCAAAGGGGGGTGTGCTGCAGCTGCACACTCTGCCTGGGGACACCCTGGTCCTCCGAGGCCAGGTGACCTGGCAGCTTCCCCAAACAGTGACATCATAAACCCGAGATGGAGCAACAGCCTGGCACTAGCAATAGCATTCTTCTTCTTCTATTTCTTAAAGTTATTTTTAAGAAGATCTTCCAGATGAAGTTGAACCCCAGGATTCAGCAAACCTGGATGAATCCCAGGAGCAAGCCCTGCTCCATGGCTACCAGCCCATCGATGGACACCCGCAGACTCACTTCAAACTCAAAGAACAGCTTTTGACAAACACTCCACCAAAAACTGGCTGATACTTGCTTGGCTCCTAATCCTCCCTGAGCTGTTTCCCCATTGCTAATCTCTCCCAGGAACCATTAATAAATCTTCCCTGGTTTGCAACGCTAATTCTGGACAAAGGCACCAGGAACCACCAGTGCCTGGGCCCGTGCCCTTGTTGTTTGCATTCTCTGCAGTGAGATTGTTTGGTTTTTAATGAGGCTAATTAAAAAGAAACAAAAAAATAATAAATCAATCCCATTAATCTGTGATAAATTGAAGTGCTACAATCCTTCCCAAAGCAGTTGGGACTGCCAGCTCCCAACTGGCTGCAGAGCAAAATCACTGTTATTACTATTTAGAACAACTCAGTGGTGCTCCAGAATGCCACAGTGATGCTTCCACAATGCCACAGTGATGCTTCCCTGCTCACCCATGGCTTGGAGTGCCTTGGAGCAGGGAATCCCACTGGAGCCTGTCCCACACACATCTCCTGTTCTGCTTTCTTGGTTCGTGGCTCTGCCCAGCCGGGGTCCCTGGCCTGCAGGTGAGCATCACTTCCCACCCCAGGGCTCAGCAGAACTCATCCGAGCCTGCTGGAAGGGGTGGATGTGTTCCTAAAATGAACCTGGAAATACTATTTTGATAGGGCACTGACAGCTTCAGCGGAACCAAATTACCATTTGGAATTACCATGAGATAATTTGCCTCATTTACTATTTAAAGATGGGAGAAAAAAAAGCTCCTTCTTCCAGACAGCTGCGGTGGAGAAATGTTCAGGCATAGAAGACATCCAAAACATATCATTAAAGCTTTAAATAAATGTATGATGACATCTCAGAGTAAGAAATACTTCCTTTGTATTTCAGATAGGAGCCAGCCAGGTCCTTTTCAAAGTCATTTTTTAATAAACAAAGGGTATTCCTCTTGTTTTTCCAGACACGCAGCTTACAGTATTTGGAGTTTTAAGTATGTAATTTAAATTCTTTCACACAGTATGGATTTAAAACCCATCTTCCTTAGGGACGCCTTTGACTTGCCAAAAGGTAAATGCCTCTGCCTGCTGCTTTTTGTCTTTTTAACTTGAAATGCTGCAGAGCTGCCCGGTCCCACCCTGCAGATTGTAATGTTTGCAGAAGGGAGGAGATGAGAATTATCCCTTTCTCACTGCCGCTAATTTCGAGGATTAAACACCAAGGCAGCTCCACAGCATCACAAAGGGAAGAAAAACATCAGCTGGAGGAGCCAGGTTCTGCATTTGCTGCTTCACTGACAAGAGAACAGACGTGCCAGGAGAACATCCCGCAGCTCTGCTCCTGCTCCTGGGCCAGCTGGGACTCAGGGCAGCAGGGCCATGTTCTCCCTGCATGCTGCTGCTGCTGGTGGTGGTGATGGTGATGGTGGTGATGGTGGTGTTGGTGGTGGTGGTGGTGATTATGGTGATGATGTTGATGATGCTGATGATGATCGTGGTGATGGTAGGGACAATGGTGATGGTGATGATGGTGGTGATGACATTGGTGATTGTTTTGGGTGTCCTCATGGTCCCCAGAGAGCACCTCCCACCCTGGGCACAACCCCCTACCAGGGCTGGGATTTTTGTTTCCCGGGATGGTGGTGCCTCTCTTGGGGGGGTTTCCCTCTGCCTGAACCCCCGGGGCTGGGGCTTCCCCACCAGGAGGCTGTGAGAGCCCTTCCCAGTCTCTGCTGGTCTGGTGGGAGAAGCTCTTGCTGTTACTCTGTCTCAGCCTGTAACTAAAACTGAAATATTTGGGCCAAGTACTTAAATTGAGAACATATTTTTGATAGCTAACAACACCGAGGAGAGCCCAGGAGACCCTGACAGGGCAATTAGTGCCTCTCCATTCATGTTGGAGAGGAGTCTTGAGAGATGAAGTGTGTTCACTCCAGAGGGTTTTTTGATACAAAAATGCAGTTATAGGGTATAAAAGGAAATGTTTAGAAACACGGGAATGAGTCAGGATCCTCCTTCACCGCAGGAGAAGGGAAGAGGTGCCCCAGGCATGACACCTCCAACACTTCCCCATCCCTGGCAGCAGCTCCCATCAGTGGTTTCATTTCCCTCCTCCCATCTACCTCTCCTCCTGGCTGCTGCTCCAGGCTCATCCCTTGGCCTCAGCGAGCTCCCAGCTGCTCAGGGCTCGGGAGTCTGGGTGGATCCTCTCCCTCTTGGCAATGAACTTGCACAGCTAAGCACAAACCAGAGGGAAGCACCCTCATGGTCCAAGCGAGCTGCTCTTGTGTGCTGGGGCCTCCTGCATGGCTTTGCTCCCCGCCTCCCTCTCTCTGTCTGAGCATCCTTTAGAGCAAAATCCTGGGGAGCTGTGGCAGCTTTCCATGGTCAATCCCAACACCAAACCATCCTCTTCCAGGAGGGTGGGGCGGGCCATGAACCCTTGTGTGGGGTGTGGGGGCTGAGAAGGCTCCGCCACGCTCCCAGCACTCCTGTCCGAAATCCAGCGGGTGGACACCAACCCAGGGAGCCTGGAGAAGCTCTGTGCAGGCAGAGCTGGTGGAGAAGGGTGACCTGCACGTCCCCAAGAGCTGGGATGACACAGAGCCCAGATGTCACAGGGCTGTTTGTCTTGGACACGCTGGGACTGACCGGGAAACGGCGCCGACCTCTTGAGCAACACCAGGGGTTTTCGGCCGGGCGGGCAGGGGCTCAGCCTGGGCTGAGTTTTTAGGATCTGATTTCCAAGAGAGCAAAACAAATCCCTCTCCAATGGACTCAGTGGCTGGAGCCAGCCCTGCCGTGGAGACGGGAGCAGCCCGCTGGTGCCGTTGGAGGTTAAAGTGCAGCAAATCCCGCTCCTCGTCTGCCAACGACGCCGGGCTGCGCGCGCCTTGCTTAGCGAGTGTTTAGTTTGTGGAATTGCTTTTATTGGTAGTTAACTGTGTAGTGGTCTCCGTGGGACATCTGGTGCACCATTTGAAAGGAATATTCCTCAACCCTTGCTGAGTGAAATTGTTTTTGTAGACAAGTGGAGGCTTTGGGGCCATTAAGAAGATAAAACGCAGATTGTTTGCAGAGGGTTTTTATTTTGTTTTAATGGCTTTTGAAGAGAGGAGCTCTTATTATTTTATTTGTCTATTTGTTAGCTGGGAAGAAGCACAGATGTTCCCTTTGCTGTTGGCTAGGCCAGGCCCCAAACCCAGGGCAGAGGGTTTGAGCATCTCTCTGAAGCTGCTGTAACATTTTCCAAACCCTGAAATGAATCCCCTGCTCACCAGTTTCTCAGTAAAACCACTGAGGGCTGGGGTGAGACTTCCTGTATGATAATTTAAAATCTTGACAGTGGATGAGACAAGGACAAACCAGAGAAAATGAAAGGCTTCGTGCTTCCTCCCAGTGATGGGAAAATCACAGATGGATCCCAAACTTCCAGCTCTCAGCCCAGCACCAGTTCATCCAGACCACAAAAGAAAACAGCCAGTCTCCAGTTTTGGGGCATGTAGGCTGTGATGGACATTGGGACATCTTTGTCCTCAAAAGCAAATCCTCTAAAGAAAAGAGCAGCATTAATTTCCAGTAGCTAATGAGTTGCCTCAGGAGTTAATTGAACATTGTGTCCCTCCATGGAGGAGGCTGCTGGACTCCTCTGTGTCTGCAGGAACATTGATTTCAACAATTTAGAGGAAATTCTACAATCCTGGGTGCTGTTTGCTTTTACATCTCATCCCAAGGAAAAACACAGGCACAGCCAGGCTGGGAAATGAGGGTTTTAGTGGGAAGATAAAGGGGAGCAGCTAAAGGAGGTAGGGATGAATGTTGTGTATCCTGGGGGCACGTTGTGGGTGGGATCAGGGTGTGGGAAGGACCTTGGATGGCACTGGAATTGCCAAGGGATCACTTATGGGATGAAGGAGAAAAAAACCACATTTTCCTCTTCCTCCTTTTTCCCTTCCCCTTCTTGTTCTTTTTCCCCTTTTCCCTCTTCCTCTTCCTCTTCCTCTCCTCCTCCCTCTCCTCCTCCTCCTCCTCTGCTGTTTTATTCCAGCACCTCTGTACACCTTGGTTTTTGGGAAATGCCCTCATGTATCAGAACCGCCAGGGAAAGAAGAGGAAAGGGAGTGAAGGTGTCAATCCCAAACTGTTTTTCAGTGTTTGCTGTACTGAGGGGATGGGGTAAAGCCCTTTCATCCTCATCCCAGAGTGGAAATCATTAATTAACACATAAATTGGGGTGGTCAAAAGGAAACTGCAGAGTGGTCAGGTGTGTGTGAGCACAATGTCAGCCAGAGGGGAAGATCCTTCCACTTCCCAGGAAGTTTTTGGGATACCACTGCCCTGCTCAGCTTTTCCAGAGGTATTTTTTTTTTTTTTAGAGTGTGTGTTTGTTTTTCCCTTTCCTACCCCTGTTAATCTCTGCTGTCACCAGGGTCACCTTAGCCTTGGCTCTGTGCTGGCCACAGAAGTGGTGGCAATAACTCTTCTGGGGGAGTGTCTCTGTGCACAGAGGATTGGGTAATAAAATTAATGATTTTGGAACACAGTGCTCATGTAGGGGTTTGTACAACAGCTTATTCTGCAATAAATCTGGCATTTAGTAAGAAAGGAAACGGAAAAAAAAAAAAAAAAAAAAAAAAGAGGAGCTCCAATGCTGAGAGTGCCAGGCTGGATGTGGCTGCAGGATGGGGGTGATCACACCCAGACTGATCACTGCCACCTCCTCTGCCTTTCTGACCACCAAACCATTTAGACCTTAGCTGCTCACCAACTGTGCTGCCTGTTTGCTCACTTCATTGGAAAGCAGCACCAATGCTGAGGATTTAGAACATAAACCAAGGAGAACCCGTGAATCCCCTGCAGTAACAGAATTCCTGCTGAGCCTGGGAGTGTTCTCTATCTGTCTTCAGCACAATCTTGTGTCCAGATCAAATTTAAATGGAATTGTGGTGCTGGGACCTCGTATAGGTTCAAATATCTCTGTGTAAAATTCCCCCCAGCATTTTAAACACAAATTCCTGTGCCAGAGCAATGATCTTGGGCTGAAGCTGCTCTCCAGTGCTGCTGTAGGGGTCAGTTCTGCTTGGTTCATCTCATTTCACACCAGGGAACTCCCTGTCCTGGGGGAGATATTTTTTGAAGCAAGAAAATAGTCAGGATAGTTTTAATGGGGCTCAGAAGGAGAGATCTCTTACCAGCAGAAAATTCAGCTGGTTTTCAGCCCTGTCCTTCCTTGACTTCCTTATTGACCCTTTGCCACCAATGAGGGTGAACCTGGGCTGCAGGTCCTGGTCTTTAATCTCTGTTCTCCTCTCCTGGCACCTCCAGGAGTGGAAAACATCTCTGACCTTATTTATCTCCACCTTTTCAAGCCTCTGCAGTCCATGGAGAAGGACACAGGTAGACTTCTCCCCCCAAGCCCAATGTGCTGGATGGAGAAAGCCTTGGAGAGAGCTGGTGCCAATTTTAGCACAAGTTCCTGCAGCAGAAATAGATCTTCCTGAGCTCACATTTAAGTCTTAGTAAATTATATCTCAGGTTAATGTATTTATTCAAGTGCCATGGGGGAATATCAGGCTGGCTGTGCTCCTCATCACAGGAGATGGGCTGGAAATTACAGTCATTTGGAAAGAACATGGATTTGAATCCCGGGGCCTGTGGTGAAAGTCAGTGCACAGTGAATTATTCCACTCAGCTCCTGTTCACACACGGATTCTGCTGGAGCTCGAGCCATTTCCAGAGCATCCCATTTCTGCAGTGAGCTACAAGGGCTCTTGGGGGGAGGTTGTGCTTGTCCTTGTGTTTTTCATCCCCCTGCCCTTGCTGCTCATCCAGAGGCAAATGCCATGAGGTGCCTTTGCTCA